ACTTGTACATTAGGGCTCCCATTCTTTTGCTACTGGTAATTCTTCTGTACTCTATAAAAAACACTGGGCTTATCTCAGAAGATTAGAAAACTCTTGGACAGAATTCCCAGTTGAGGGCCCAGTTCATGAGAGAGATCAGCTAAGTACCACATGAAGCAAATAAGCTTTCCCAAATGAGGACAGGCCATAGAATCATGAACAAATAAATGATTGTTTCTTTAAACCACTACATTTTGGGGTAGTTTGTTTTTCAGGGATAGCTGACCAAAACAGTATTATTGACTTACTGTCCCAACCATGACTTATTCTAGGATCTGAACATAGCACATTTTTATGGGTTATTTCAAAAACTGTAGACACTGACTCCTTCAGGTAGGTAATGTTATAACATTAAGTATTAAAGTGTGTATTAAAGTAAAATTAGATACTAATTTTTTAATTGATTTAGATTAAGTGTAAATTAAGTATTCATTAGAGAGATTCTCTTTCTTCCCTTTATTGTCTTTTGTAACTGTAATTTGATAAATTTAGATCTATTTGGTTATATTTAATTACAGAACCCTGGCAACTGCTGTAGTTACCAGGGTTACCTATAAAGAAAAGGCCCCAGGTGAGCTACATTTGAGTACAGTAGGGATGGAAGGGACAGGTCCAGATTGTCTCTAACATTTGTGATGCTCAAAAGTACACATGGAAGCCCATATATCATCCAAATTTTAAAAGGGGTAAATCAAACTAATAAATTTTTAACTAGACTACATTTTATTATTCTACCTTGACAAATATAACTTTGTACCAACCTGGAAGACCAGATTTTAATTTAGAATTGTTGACCTGCTCGGTTTTGCAATAGAATATGACAGCAGGGGATAGCTGGACCTGAGCCAGGTGCCCACCCTGTCCTCTTCCTTCAACTCTAGCATGTACTGTCAAGGGTCTTGTGTGCAAATTTGTGGGGACCTTGGCCCATATAATTATTCTTGGTCCATGTCTTCACCTTGATAGCCACCTCTTAGTTACCTTTCAATTCTAGGTGTCTTCCAGTGGGAAGACTGACATAGGGAAGAGTCCTGTACAAGCACTGGAAATGAGATCAAAGCACTTTCTTTGGATTGTGAGTTATGGCATCCCATGCACTTGGAACATGGATGGGGCTGGGCTTCCATATAGGCTTGTCCCATTGGGCCTAGGTACTCCTTGCTCATGCAGAGAGACAATGCCAGAAGGGATTCAGAGTAAGGCCCAGGAGAGGAAGCTCTGTTCCCTGGGTCTAAGGTATGTGGTAGATTGGGGATCCTTAACAGCTGACCCTGAGACCAGGTCTTAAGAAGAAGTAGTTTGATTGCTGATCTCAGGAACCATAGGTAAGAGTATAAGAAAGAGACAGCAAAGAGAAGCTTATTCAGTGTTGGGGAAGAAAATTTTTCTTCCGCCCTTCAAGATCATTTTGGATAGCCTAATAATTAAATTAACATGCAACAGATTAACAGGAACAAATCAAATTTAATTACGTATGTACATGGGCTCCATAAGAATATGAAGCCCACAGTCCCTCAGGCAATTGAGGCTTAATATGCCATCCAGAGCTAAGGAGAAAGGGAGTAGAGGTCTGGGACTTCGAAAGGAAGGAAGACAATTCACAGGCACATGAAAAAGAACATTGTTGGTAAAGAAGTGTTTTCTGGGCCACACAGAAACAAGGGAGGAATTTTAACAACCAGACTCTGCTAAGTTGCTCCCTGTCTACCACCCCTCGTTCATATTATACTGTAGTTATCTATGGTGATAACCCCCTTCCTGGAGCAGGTCCTCTATCTAAATTCTTTTAATCAGTTATGGGGAAGGTCACAGGTTTTTCCTGAGTTTCCTGCTTAAAAATAATTGGTCTAAAATAATCTGCATGCCAAGGAGACAAATTTTGGAGTGGCAAATTTTGCTTCCCTCCATCAGGGAGTGTGAATGAGCATTGCCACTATGAGCATTTTGGGCTCAGATGCACTGGAGATCTCCAGGAGTTGGTATAGAATTCACCTCAGAGTTACTCTAACCAAAGGGCAAAGAAGCTGGGTTATTTTTCCACTAATTTAATACATTATTTGTTGAGGACTGCAATTGCAGGCATTAACTGTCACTTGCGGCCTGATCCACGGAAGAGCTGAGCAGCGCCTATGACTAGAACATATGCTCAGGGAGAAAGCCACAGTTCTCCACAAAAGCCATTGGCTTACAGGGAGGATTTAAATGCCAAGGGGATGTGGCAGGGCCTGGACAGCATCTGGTACAGTGCAGAATTGGAAAGGACTTTGAGAATACATATCCCTAAAAGAGAATGATGGTATGGCGGCACAATGTGGCCAGTAAAATTTCCAAGTTTCTAAAAAATAAGTTCTACCTCTGTTGTTTTACATCTAAGGAGATGTGGATACTGGCTGATCCAGAAGCAACTTCTTGTTGATAATTTATGATGATATTCCTGCTTATGGTTCTGAGATGAATCAATACAATTATTTTAGATGTTTAAGGAAAAGAAACAAATATTGTTTTATCAATTTATCTTAAAAAATAGAACCATCTTTTCCATGAATTCCACTGTTCTGATGGGTTCCTTTTTGGACTTGTCAGGGAGGGGGCTGGCACACTGTGCATTCCTCACCGTCTTTGCTCAGGAACATTTTGTGAGTTGGAAAATGTACACTTAAGAATCTCCTTGGCTTTGACTTTCAGACTCAGTATCATCAGGAAATGAATATTTTTAGGGAAAAGGAAGTCGTGGATAACAAAGCTTTTGATAGAGGCTTTATACTTGAACTTGTGCATTTCAATTACTGTTTACTTTTAAATGGCTTGCTATTCTTTATCCTCAATGAAAATAGTAATTACTGTTGAGTTGCTTAAATTTTATATTCTAAGCAGTTTAATTTTATTTAAATTACCTAATCTAAATATGTTCATTTCAGTCTCTTCATGCAAGAGAAAAATGAGGCTTCTTTATTTCTGCTAATAAAGCAACATTTTTTTTTGTCTTCCCCTCTCACACCTGCCCCATGGCCTGAGGAGCCCCCAGTGTGGGACACAGAGCTGGGCATGCATCATGATGTGTGTTCAGGACTGGCCAGGGGCTGAGGGGCAGAAAAGGACATTTGACTCTGGCTCAGTGACACTTAATCTGGCCTGGCCCTGGAGGGAGGAGAGCAGGGCCTGCAGGGGAGAAGCAGGGCCTGCAGGGGAGAAGCAGGGGTAGGGCAGAAAAGTTTGTCCCTCCCAAGGCCTGGCCTGACAGTCAGCATGTATGTCTGCATGTTGTCTGCATGTCTCTCTGAGTGTTTATGTTTCTTGTGTGTCTGTGTGTCGTAGGCTTGGGTTGCATATTTTTCTGTGGGGTTTGTGTGACTGTCTCTCTGTACATTGTGTGCTTCTATGTGTCTGCTGTGTGCGTAGTTGTGTTTTACATGTGTGCCGAGTGTTGTGTCTGTAAAGCAACAAATTTTGAACCAAGAATTATCTCACCTGGTTTGCCACAACTCATATACTTCTCTCAGAATGAGAGTGATCAATGAACAACAAAAGATGAACTGTGCCTGGAGTCCTTTTTTCAAGAAAAAATCTATTCTAAAATTAGATTTGTTTATAAATAAGAGGAAATAAAAATAACAACATTCTGACAGCCTTTGTTTCCTGTTTAGACCAGCTGAGAATCTGGACTTTAGTTAGATGTCACATAGATGCATCCATTGTCAGTGTGTTTTAACATATAATAGATAACTGTAACATTATACATAATATGTAATATATAGCATATAACAATATACAACATGCAACATATGCTATATAATATATGAGATAATTTTATAATATGAAACATAACATATAATAAACACATACAAATCCTTGATTCCTTTTAAAAATGATTTAAATTAGTTGATGTTCTTATGGGAGTGACTGCTTTCCTTGGTATATAGAGTTTAGTGCATTTGAAAACAGGTTTGCCATTTTTAGCATTTGAGGTGTTAAATGTGAGTGAATTAAAATCATTGCCGCTTAATGTCCTAATATTTGTCTGATCCACTGGTTGATAAGTTTGATATGTTTTCTTGATTTCAGAGAACTCCCTTGCACAAAATTAGGTTCCTAAATGTTTTCTGTTATTTGTTTTTCATCTGTTACTCAAATTCTTTGGCATTAGCAGTGAAATTTGTATCATATTCTGATACTGCATCCTACTTTAGGTGTGAGAGTTGTTTATAACTATTTTCTTATTTCATGGGGTATAAGAAAACAGTGAACCTTCAGAGAAAAAGTAATGTTGCTTAGAAGGAAAGGACTGACATAGATAGCTTGCCCACCGTAAGAAATGATATTAGCAATTAACTTAAGGTAAATGGTATAATAAGGTGATACGAAAGTATTAATTGGACATGCCTCTTTCTACTTCCCTTGGTTATTATCTGTGAAAAAATTGTTTCTGCTAGTGAAGTTGCAAATCATCTTGACCCCTAAATCATAGAATGTGGCAGATAAGAATACTGACCAAATATTTCAAGTATCTGTCTCATTTCTCAGCTCCCATTCTGTTAGATAGATACATGTGGTTCTGGCTAATTAAATGTAATGTGTGTTACTTTAGGACTGAGCACTGAAAAGCCCTTGAGCAAACTTCTAGCCACTCTTCTTTCCTTGACCTGTGAACAAAGGGGGAGAGGTATTCCTGATGGTACAGCTGCAGGATAGTGGTGCCTTTCACAGCATGGGTCTCTGAGTGAATTTATGGAGCAGGTCTTCCTCTGGCCTATGCAGCGTATATTCTGAAATTGATTAATAAACTTGCATTTTATGCTCCGGAGATTTAGGGGTGTGTGTTACCTCAGTATAACCTATATCTTCCAGATGATACAGTATAACTAAATACAGTAATATTAAATATCACTTTACCCTAAAATGAATTTTAGGATTAATGCCATTAAAAATGATTAAACCATTTAAAATGATTTTGATAACCACAGATGGATCTGTTCCAGTTCCTTTACGATTTACTCCTGTCAAACCTGGCCGCTACCCTTGTAAAATTTTGTTGACATCCTGGTATGATGTGCGTCTCTATTACATTGAAGGTGTGGTAAATGAGGAGCATCCAGAGGCCAGATTTGAATTTGAAACACCAGCATTTGAAGCCCTTACCCAGAATATTCCATTAGTAAGTACCAACTTTTATTTTGTACTTTTCTTTTTTCCCACTGCCACTGTCTCAGAGTCCTCCAAACCTTTCATACTGAACTATTGTCAATTTCTAATCGCATTATCTGCTGCTATTTGTTTCTCCATACTGATATCAAGAGTTTTGCTCCAGAAAATGAATGTTATCATTTTACTCACCTAATTAATCACTGCTGCTGGATCTCTTTCTTAAAAAATTAACTCCACTATAGCATCTTACTACGCTGATGGACAGTGACTGTAATGGGGTGTGTGGTGGGGAATCGATAATGGGGGAAATCTAGTAACCACAGTGTTGCTCATATGTGTATATTAGTGATACCAAAAAAAAAATTAACTTCAACTTCTTTAACCTCCTTCCTAAAATTCCTGTTCAAAAGCTATGCCTACTGCTCCACCAAGTAGAGTTGTGGTCTCTCAGATCACTGCTCCAAATTCAGTTGTGAGCTTAACAGTTGAGTAAGATGGGTTCACAGGCACTAAGAACAATCATTGGCTGTAGCTTTGCTACCTTATTAGTCAAAGTAATAACACAACATAGAAAAATATATAATTGTGAGGAATTCTGAATTGTTTTAGACTTGCTGAGAAGTTATTTTTTTGTTTAATTATTAAAGATAGAACAAAAATCTGTTCAAAGCACAAAAAATTTGTCTGATGAGCTATGTAAGCTCTCCCATCTAAGCAATCTACCAGTTAGATTGTACATAATTAGGAGTAGAATGTGTAATTCTAAGACCATTTTATCATTTTAATAGTAATTAGTAAGCCAAACAAAGGAAGATTCCCTAAATTAGTAAACAATCCATGGATCAACCTATTAGGCAATGCTCCTTTATGACATTGAAAGGGCATGTAGTTATCCTTGTGCCTTATTTATGTTACCCTTTTTTATTGTTGTTTTTAACAAATATGACTTTCAAATGATGATTCTTAAGAAATACAGTTAAAGATACAATATATAATTTTATTAAAAGTACCAAGAATATGTAACTCAACTTTATCAACATCATCCCTCTGATATTTTTCTACCTTTTTTTTATGCTTTAGAATAATAAAACAAGGAAAGAATGGAAATGTCAAGTTACTATAGAAGGAGAATGGTTTTATGGACCTTCTCTTTTACACGTTGGACCAGGTGAAACTGTACAGTATCCTCTCACATTCAAACCTATTTGGGAACGTGAGATTATGGTATGAATTCATTGATTTTTTTCCCACCAGTATTAATATGTCAATAAACCAATGTATAATATTAACGTATATAAGTTATGATAAATTTTTTCAGAAAAGTTATATTTTCCATGATTTCAACTATTAGTGTTCATTTTGCTTGAAACATTAATAAATGTTTTTAACTTAAGGGATAAATATTCTGAAAGACATAATGCCGTTGGCCACCAATACTTATATCTAAATTATCTTTGCATAACACATTTAACAAAGTTAAATCATTACTCCTTTTGTTTTTACTCACTAAGGAAGTTGGTGCTTCAGAAAATATTTTAAGACATATTTCATTGTCGAGGATGTAGAAACACATGTAATTGCTATGTATGAGAATTCCTGTATACAATCTACCATTTAGGAAAAGTAAAGAGAAATAAAGAGATTTTCATAGAAACTTCATATTTATTCATCCATTAGAACCATTTATACATACTGAAAAAGTCAATGGCTATCATCTCCTTGAAAGCTTATTTTATTAATCAGATCCAAGATTAATAGAATAGCAGAGGTTGTTTGTCATCCTACTGTAACTCCTAGGAGCTGAAATTTGGCTGATTTGTTACAGGGCAGACTTATTCTACAAAATGAAGTAGATGGTATGGAGCATGTCTTTGAAATAAAAGGGGTTGGAAAAAAGCCCGTGGCCTTGGAACACATCACTGTAGACTGTCAAGTGGGGAATATAGCAAATAAACCCATAATGGTGCCCAGTTGTATGAACACCGCCCTGACATTTAAGGTGAGATTTTGTTGTTGTTGTTTTTAGGAGTATGTTGAATTGTATGATATTTTTTAAAAATTTAATTTTATTTAATGAGGTGAAGCAAGGCCACATAGACATTTTCAATCCTACTTTTTATCTATTTAATAACCCTACAGTACATTAACTGTCAGATTTCATTCTAGTTATAACATTTAATTAGCACCAAATATGTTTTATATCTACATACTTGTATATAATCATAAGACAGCCTGCTTCTTTGAGTCAGGAGTATTTTCACTTGCAGAAATTTCACAATGACAATATATTTTCAAAAAAAGACTTTTAAACAGCTTTTAAAATTTTAATGTGAAATCTGTAGGTGCAAAATGTCAAAAGTTTATTCTATCACTTATAAGTTTGAATAATAGTGGGGATGTGAAGAAGTGCATAATTTTTACATCTTTATTTTTATGAAGTTCTCTACTTGGTCCTCCTCACTTGATTCATTTAAGCCAATCTTCAGATATTTCCCTATCCCATTTCCATATTTATCTACAAATTGTTGGTTTGCCCAATAGAATCTGTGAAAGAGGTTTGATATCTGTCTCCATGACAGGTGCCTGAGTTGTTTTAGAGGGTAATGCAGAAGTTTGGAAATTCTTTGGGTTAGTTCTCTGCTTTTTTTTTGTAATCTTAAAAAACATATGCTTTGTTTTTCTTCTTTTCTTACTGGATTTTAAGTGGAGTGAATATTGTGAAGGAAAATCTCATCTTGTCACTCCCCTGCTAAAATCCATCATTATCAACTCTTACCTTCAGGATGGGGTCTACATTCTTCTGAAGTAGTGTCAGTGTCCTTGACAAGCTCATCCACCTAGCATCATGTCTTATCTCTACTGGCTCCAGCAATACTTGGGCCTTTGTATACAGTATTTCTCCTTTGGAAATTCCTGCCCAACTCCCTATCTTCCATTTTTCTGTGTCTCTCTAACTCTTTTTCATTCTTTAGGACAAGTCCTAGAGGCCACTTTTCTAAGAATCCTTCCCTATCCCCATAAACCTAGGTTAGATGTCATTCATGTGGTTCCATAGCATTATTTTTTACCTGTCCTACCATCCTCCATACTACATCACTTGCTGTTACCTGTCTATTGTTCTCCACCAGGTTATAAACTCTGAGAAAAGGGGCATATCTCTCTAATCAACGTTTTTACACCTAGCATAAACCATAGTATCAAACATATAATAGTTTTCAAAGAAGATTTGTTTAATGAACAGTTACAAACATAATGGGTGGCATTTAAAACAAAGAAAGGAAGAAAGTTGGGAAGGAAGGAAAGAAGAAAGGACAAAAAGAAAAAAATCAGAACTACTTGGATATGCTATAAATAAGGAAAAAATCATTTTCCACCTTTCCCTTTCCCCTTCTGGAATTTACCGGTGAGTAAGGAATACTGTTTTGAGAGTTCGATGACAACAATTTAAAGAAATATCTCTAATTTCTTAACATTGTTTATTTCATTTTGTTGTTATGGCAGAGATGATGTGTATAGGTTTTTACATTTTTATTTTTCAGAATGAATATATTTTTTAAAAAGTAGGCCTTTAAAAATAATAATTATGCTGTTAACTAAATCTAATTAAATATAGAAGTGGAATCCTATTCATAACAAAATTATTCTCACAAGCAAAAATAATGGAAGTCTATATTTTTATCATTTTTACACACACAACTGAAGAATCTGGTTATTTTATATTCAGAATAAATTTTCAGTGAGGCCCTATCTGTAATTAAAGATACTATCTATTAAATGTTATTTCATTAAAGTAGTAAACTCATGTATTCCAGATCCTCTGAAAACTTCTCTATTTCTTTATTTAAAAATTCCAACAGTTATGAAAGAATAAACATATTTAAGACCTAAGAAACATTTGTTCCTATAGGTATTATCAATAGATAAAATAGCACCTTTATTAATTTGAAAATCACCCTTATTTTTAATCAACACTAAGCAATGCCAATTTGACATTTCTTTTATTCATAATACTTAGTTTATTGCTTATAATTTAATGGAAATTCTGTTGAGGAACAGCTAAGATGGTGCTAAGGAAAAAGGCGAGGCTGAATATCTTTACTTTATCATTTCAGCATTCTTTGTATACTTGCTTTGAGACCGCTGAACTGCTTCTGATTCTCTGTCTTCATTCTTTGATCTGTAAAATGAAGTTGACCTTTATGCACTCAAGGCTGCTTCACATTCCTTTCCCATCTCTCTCTTTTCTTCTCTGTTTAACTATTTTCCTCTTCATTGGGCTGTTTTCCTTAATCTATAATTATTCTCAATTTTTTCAATTATAAGAGAAAACTTGTCTCTAATAATACTCTCTCTTCAACTATTATCCTCTTTATTTCCCATGATTGCTAAACTTGTTGATAAAGCAATACTTACATCGTCACTTCTTATTTCATGGTGGTCCATTTGTAGCGAATTTAGTCTGTTGAAACTGCTACCACAAAGATCACCCTGGACTTTTAGTCAAGAAGAACCAGTTATTTTCCCAAGTTATCTGCCTCAAAATTCTAGTGTTTGGTAAAGTCAATCTGCCTTCTTAACATCCTTCTCCCTTTATTTTATATCATTCTATATTCCTAATTTCCTAGTCATCTCATGACTATTACTTATCTGGTCTTTTTATTCCTCTAACCTACTAATGAATTTTCAAGTTTCCATCTTCCAAAGCATTCTTCTATCTGTAAAACATCCCACTTGGCAGTTTCTTCACCTCAAACTCTCCTATAGGAATGAATTCCCAAATTCATACTTAAGACGTATGTGTTAGCTCCAGCCCCTCATTAGTGTATTATTTTCATATTTTTTCCTGGTTCTATTTTTCATTGTAGTTAGTAGTCATTTTTATGATGCTTTGTATTCTTTAAAAAGCCTCTAACATATATTTTATCTTATTGCTATAAGAATTGTTTTCAGTAGAAGGTTATGACCTCTTTAATATGAAAGAGAAAATATCAGAGAACATCACTGAGATACAGATAAAATTCTATGGCATGTTTTTTTGTATTAAAGTATCATTGATGTACATTCCTATGAAGGTTTCACAAGAAAAACAATTTGGTTGCTACATTCACCCATATTATCAAGTCCCCCTCCCCATACCCCATTGCAGTGACTGTCCATCAGTGTAGTAAGATGCCACAGAGTCACTACTTGTCTTCTCTGTGTTACACTGTCTTCCCCATGACCCCACCACACACACCATGTGAACTACTCATAATGCCCCTCAATCCCCTTCTCCCTCCCTCTCCATAGGCCCTTCCCCACACCTCCCCTTTAGTAACCATTAGTCCCTTCTTGGAGTTCATGAGTGTGCTGCTGTTTTGTTTCTTCAGTTTGCATCATTATTATACTCCACAAATGAGGGAAATCATTTGGTACTTGTCTTGCTTCACCTGGCTTATTTGACTGAGCATAATATCCTTCAGCTTCATCCATGTTGTTGCAAATGGTAGGATTTGTTTCTTTCTTATGGCTGAACAGTATTCCATTGTGTATATGTACCACATCTTCTTTATCCATTCATCTACTGATGGACACTTAGGTTACTTCCATATCTTGGCTATTGTAAATACTGCTGCGATAAACATAGGGGTGCATATGTCTTTTTGAATCTGGGATCTTGTTTTCTTCAGGTACATTCCTAGGAGTGAAACTACTGGATCAAATGATATTTCTGTTTTTAGCTTTTTGAGCAACCTCCATATTGCATTCTGCAATGGTTAAACCAGTCTACATTCCCACCAGCAGTGTAGGAGGGTTCCCCTTTCTCTGCATCCTCACCAGCACTTGTTGCTCCCAGTCTTTTGGATGTTGGCCATCCTAACTGTTGTGAGGTGATATCTCATTGTGGTTTCAATTTGCATTTCCCTGATAATTAATGATGTGGAGCATCTTTTCATGTATCGGTTGGCCATCTGAATTCCTTCTTTGGAGAATTATATGTTCATATCCTCTGCCCATTTTTTAATCAGGTTATTTGCTTTTTGGGTGTTGAGGTATGTTAGTTCTTTATATATTTTGGATGTTAACTCCTTGTTGGATAAGTCATTTACAAATATATTCTCCCATATGGTAGGATGCCGTTTTGTTCTGTTGATGGTGTCCTTTGCTGCACAGAAGGCTTTTAGCTTGATGTAGTCCCATTTGTTCATTTTTGCTTTTCTTTCACTTACCCGAGATGTGTTCAGGGAAAAGTTGCTCATATTTATATTCAAGAGATTTTTGCCTATGTTTACTTCTAAGAGTTTTATGGTTTCATGACTTACATTCAGGTCTTTGATGCATTTTGAGTTTACTTTTGTGTATGGGGTTAGACAATAATCCAGTTTCATTCTCTTCCATGTAGCTGTCCAGTTTTGCCAACAGCACCTGTTGAAGAGGCTGTCATTTCCCCATTGTATATACATGGCTCTTTTATAGTATACTAATTGACCCTATATATTTGGATTAATATCTGGGCTCTTTACTCTGTTCCATTGGTCTATGGGTCTGTTCTCATGCCAGTACCAAATTTTCTTGATTACTGTGGCTTTGTAGTAGAGCTTGAAGTTGGGAGGCATAATCCCCACAGCTTTATTCTTCCTTTTCAGGATTGCCTTGGATATTTGGGGTCTTTTGTGATTCCAGATGAACTTTAGAACTATTTGTTCCAGTTCATTGAAGAATGTTGTCAGTATTTTGATAGGGATTGCATTGAATCTGTAGATTGCTTTAGGTAGGATAGCCATTTTGACAGTATTAATTCTTCCTATCCATGAGAACAGGATGTATATCCATTTATTGGTATCTTCTTTAATTTCTCTCATGAGTGTCTTGTAGTTCTCTTCACTTCCTTGGTTAGGTTTATTCCTAGGTATTTTATTCTTTTTGATGCAATTGTGAATGGAATTGTTTTTCTGATTTCTCTTTCTGCTAGTTCATCATTAGTGTATAGGAATGCAATAGATTTCTGTGTATTAATTT